CTGGGCTATGACAATGCCGACACTGATGAAGGCCACCGATTTAAAATCATCAAGATTCTTCTCACCTAGCACCTTGTAGAACCGACTAGGGATCAACCCCACATGGTATATCACATACTCCTCTTTAGAAAAATAGAAACAATTAACACTCAATAGCCTAACCCCTTCATTAGGACAAGAAAAGAGAGGAAAAAACAGACCAAGGAAGGAGAGGAAAAGGAGAGCCAGGAAGAGTGCGAATGTGATGGAGCAGAATCCTGGGAAGAGGATCCTAAGGATGTTGAGGAATCGCTTGAGAAATTCCACATTGAAGCCATAGTCCTTCTGGTTTGTTTTCATCCTCCACCTTACCTCTTTTCCTTTTCCTCTATCCTTCCTTCTCCAGCCAATCAGCCTGCATATTACAAGTCACACCCATGGTCCCTATAGTTGATCAACATTTAGTGCAGCACATTCCTTTGAACTGTTTCCAGATTGAATTTGTACCACCCCCTATAGTGAATATTAAAGAAACCACAAATTTCCAGAGGTACTGCTTCATCAGGTGAAAGATATAACCGCCCATGTCTAAGATGTCACTATCTGCAATCAATGGTTGCACTCCTATGGGGGGATATACAACTCAGCGTCAAAATATTACAATATTTTTAAAAAGTCACGCACATCAATTTCTCACTTGACGTATTATGTGACACACGCAAGGGAACAATTTGTACTAAAGCCTAATGTGGAGCCTTACCTTTCTTGATGTTAGCAAAGTTGGCTCACTTTTGGTACTTGTTGCTGGGGAGGGGTCCTTTGCAGAGACTTGATAATGGGTTGTCAGAATATTACGATATTTCATGAAGTGTGTCAAAATATTATTATATTTTAATGCACATGGCGACTGAAGGGGAGCACATGATCAAGTCATCGTAAACAACATCAGGGGGTATAAAAGACTCCTTTCAGGCCTGCCTGATTCATTGTTGACGCACTTTGCTTTGACACGCATGGGCCGAAAGAAGGATCTCATCCCAGTGAACAAAGCCACTATCCTTGCACTTCATCAGAGTGGAAAAACACAGGTGGACATCAGCAAGTTGTGTGGTTATGTGCAACCAACAGTGTCTGTTGTCATCAGAAGCAACATTGGAGGTGAACCTACACCTTCCAACAAGAAGAATTGTGGGAGAAAGAAAGCAACAACACCAAGGGAGGACAAAAAGCTGCGGAGAATTGCCATTGAGAACCATGTGAAGTCCACTGCAGATCTTCGCAATCTCTGGGCCGACACAGGGATAGAAGCCTCGAAGAGTACTGTCCTTCGTTCAATGGGGTTTGAATCACAGATTCCCAAAGTGAAGCCTCTCCTAAACGCAGCTCAGCAGAAACGCTGTTTGATGTGGGTGAGAAAATATTCCTCTTGGACGTCCACTGACTGGTCAAAAGTCCTCTTCAGCAATGAATCAAAGTTCTGCATCACATTTGGTGATTGTGGACCACACGTGTGGCGACGGAGCGATGAAATATACCACCCTGACTGCACTGTGAAGTCCGTGAAGTACCCCACAAATATTATGGTGTGGGGCTGCATGTCCTCCCAAGGTGTTGGAAGTCTGTGCATCTTGAACACAACCGTGACTACCGCCGTGTACCAAGATGTTTTGAAATCTTTCATGGTCCCTTCTTCTGAAATGTTGATAGGAGGTGAAGATTTCATTTTCCAACATGATCTTGCACCTGCCCATGCATCCAAGTCCACCAACAAATGGCTGGCTGACCGCAGGATTGAGGTGTTGGAATGGCCAGCCAACTCCCCAGACCTCAATCCCATAGAAAATCTGGGGGGAAAATGAAGCGCCGGCTACAGCAGCTCCGACCATCTTTCAAAGAAGATCTCAAGACCATAGTCAGGCAAGTGTGGGAGGCCATCACCCCAGATGAGTGCACCAAGTTGGTGGAGTCGATGCCCAGAAGAATTGCGGCAGTCATTCGCAGTCGCGGCACTCCAACTATGTACTGACTCACACTTTTGTCAAATATTTGTTAAATAAACCACTTTGGACAACAACTTGAACACTTAATATCTCAGTTTTGGTCAATATCATAATATTTTGACACGCCTCAATATTCTTCGAAAGCCTCAGTACCAGACCGGTCAAAGAAACAAAATTTTGGAACGTCTGTCCTGTAAATGGTAATATTTGAGCTTTCAAATGAGGTAAACATAATGCCATGTTGACAAGGTGTTGACCAACAACACTAACTTCGAAAATAGATGTAGCTTTTTTTCTCTTAATATCATAATATTTTGACACGGAGTTGTAAATTCAATCTGGAAACCCCATAAGATTGTACAATGTACTCAATGCATCCTACTCCAGCCGGTCAAGGTCAACCGGTAGACAGATCGTCTTGTAGAGGTAAGAAAAATGTGAGGTTGATTAGGCCCAAGACAGCTTTGACAATTTAGTCTCATCAACAGACTTGCATGCCATAATGTATATTTACATATCATCACATCACTTCAACACCATTATAATATAAAAGTTTTTATTTAAAAAAAGTCAATCTCCATCCATACAGCAGTTAGATTAGCCTCACACTCTTCCAAGCTTCAGTTCAGTCAATTGGTTTGGGCCCTATTCCTTGGCTGGCTTCGGAAGAAATGATGGATGAAGTTCCAGTTCTATAAAGAATGAAAATCAGAAAAATGATGAATGGATAAGCACCCAACAGAATGTATATTGCTAAGGAATCCAAATGACTAGCTCCTCACTCATCAATGAAGCTGCTGCTCAAGAAGCCTTTGTGGGCATCCTGTATGACTCTCTCTTGCAGGGGTTCCTGTTATTCTTGGAAGTAGTAACTTACAGTGGATGCGGTAAGCCGATTGAATGGATGACAACTGAGAGGAGAACCCTTCACTCTTCCTTTCAGCTTATTGTTCAGCATCTAATCCCACCAAAAAAATGCACATGCCATCAGTCAATTAAACTTTCATTGGTGTGAACAGAAGCTTACTCTTTCCTACCTCAACTGACAAGATCTCCTTTTGATGCCACCAAGGCAAGAAGAACCTCAAAGCTGAGCTGCAGACATAATAAACCCCTCAGCCATTGTCAAGTGTCAGACCAAATTTGCCAACTTGGGAAAATAATAGTTCTTTTGTATCTCAAGAGACTTTTCTTTGGGGTGCACCAGGCTCATTTTTAAAGGGATGTCAGCAAAGCAGAGGCGAAGAAATCCTCCTCAAGCTTTACCTAGCAAAGGAGAGAAATGAAGAAAATGAAATCAGATGGGACAACTGATGAAAAAGAATTGCTTCTTGATATGTATTAAGTGAATCAGCCAAATGGCTGGTCCACACAAAACCTTTTTATGCAAGTTTGGTTGCATGAGATCTCTACACAAGTCAACTGCTTCGTATGGACTGGGAAAGCTCACTCCATCAATGAGATTCTGGCTCAATGAAGTGCTTTGCTTCCTCATTCCACATTATCACTCGTGATAGATTCATGAGCTGATATGTATGTGCGCTCAACTGCTTGAACTGTTCAGATTATGCCATAGGGGAAAACACTGGATTATGGATTATCCGGAATCAGTAGTTTTTATTTGAACAGCTGTACTTTTTGACCATGTGGAAAACTGTGACTGGATATGCTCCCAGATATGTAGGCCAGGCTAAAAGTCTAGAATATATTTATTACCAATGGCCACAGATAAGGTCCTAAGCAGCCCAAAGGCTAAGCCCATGCTTTCAGTCTGAATTTCTGTTTGAACGAACACTCAGCAGGTTTCAGACAGGCCAACAACTATGACAGACCTTGATCACAATACATAATAGGAATGCACCTTAGGCCTAGGCCTTAGCATACACAAGTTCTAAACATCTACCATNTAATCAATTAATATCTATGTATAAAGGATACCTATCACATCTCTAGATGCTACGTATTTCATGGCAAATGTTATTGTATGAGGTTGAATACTTAGATGTATGGATGAGGAACTCCACCACCTCTTTCGCATTGAAATGGAACAACAAGCCTCAAAAAAGAGACAACAGTCATTTGGTCCATTCCATTTTATGTAAAAATGTGGTGCTTTGGATTCACTTTGAACCATTTATACGTTACTCAGACTCTTATGGACTCTGCAGTCAAGTCCTGAAGTGGCAGTTTCCTCACTCAGGAAGGGTTGCTGCTTCAGGAACTTCACACATCAATATACCACATTGCCATTAGCTGACCATTATGGTTAATCGGTGTAACTGGAGTATCACTCATAATAATGATAGGAAATGAAAATGCCAAAGAAGAAAACAATATTGTTACAGGGTAGGGCAGGTTGTAAAACTGCAATTCTCACAATATATATTTACCCTTAGCAAAAATTACAGATTACATGTTAATGCTCACATTTATAGAATTAAATCTACAGCTTTCAACTTCCATTGAAGCCATACCAATGTGCAGACTAGGCTTAAGATTCATCCATACATGATAGGAAACCCTAACACGTACTATCAAAGGTTGTGCAACCATATGTCGTGGTTTTAGGTGCTCTGTCCAGGTTTCAAAGGGGAGTAGCTTTTTCAGGAAAAAGTGTAGGTTTTGAAGCATAGCATCACTAAAAAATAATAATAAATATAAATATAAATAAAAACAAGGTGACAAGACGTACCGGTTTTCCCTGAAAAATATATTCTGGTCACCTTACGTTGAGACAGTTTCCTCCCTGCCATTCCTGTTGCTCCTTATTTGCTCAACATCTTTCCCCCGCCGCCCTTCACTCTGCATAGATTAATGGTGGCAGAGTGACTATCTTCCAGGACTTTCCGCATGCAGGGTGCTTATAAATTAATGTAAAATACAGAGCTCAGAGTTTCCTTTTGTCACTCTACGTGAGGGCCTACTCTCATTTGTTTCATTCCAAATAAGTATATCGACCTCAATCTGTATCGATATCACCGTGTTCATACGAGAAACATGCACCCTTGAACATTATTCCCATGCCGACCTAAAAATGAATGCGGTAGGCGTGAAGGACACATGGAAGGTCAGGGGGAAGCCATTTCTGGCAACTCCCCTGTCCTCTTCAGAACTTCATTGGAACTAACCTTTCTATCTCTTCTCGCAAGATGTCAAAAGGACTCTGGCATTCCTGCCTTTGTATGGAGGTTAGAGCCATATAAAGAGCAGTCTTCGGCAGTATAGTGGTGAGTTTCCTCGCCTGTCACGTGGGAGCCCGGGTTCGATTCCCCGCCGGGGAGGAACGTTTTTTTCTACTCCAATTCTTGTAAGTCATTATGAATGAGAGAAAGAGCTCGAGATAACGAACAATCCGCTTAAATTTTTTGCGGTGCTCAATTCCTTTCCTTTGCAAACCCAAGGGAGAGTTGAGGTGATCTACAAAAAGAAAA